CAAAAATATACACTGGGGAAAAGAATCTCTTTTCAATAAATGGTGCTGGGAAAACTGGATAGCTACATGCAGAAGAATGAATCAAGATCCCTACCACTCACCTCTCACAAAAATCTAGTCAAGAAGGGTAACAGACTTAAACCTAAGGCATGAAACCTTAAGAATCTCAGAAGAAAATCCTGGGAAAACCCTTTAAAACATCGGTCTAGGCAAAGAATTCTTGCAGACACCCAAAGCAATCACCACAGCAACAAAAATAAACAAATGGGATCTGATCAAATTAAAAAGCTGCACAGCCAAGGAAACTATCATTAGAGCAAACAGACAACCTACAGAATGGGAGAAAATACTTGCTCTCTACACTTCCAATAAAGGTCTTATAACAAGAATTGATCTAGAACTCAAAAGAATTAAGAAAAAAAAAAAAATCAAACAACCCCACCAGGAAATGGGCAACAGAAATGAACAGAAACTTTTCCAAAGAAGATAGAATTATGGCCAGCATACATATTAAAAAATGCTCAACATCTCTAATCATTAGAGAAATGCAAATCAAAACCACAATGAGATATCACCTAACCCCAGTGAGATCAGCCTGTATCAAAAAATCCCATGCTGGCGAGGATGTGGAGAGACAGAAACCATCTTACACTGCTGTTGGGACTGCAAATCAGTGCAACCTTTGTGGAAAAGAATGTGGAGATACCTCAAAGAGCTAAAAATAGAAATGCCTTTCCATCCAGCAATAGCATTATTAGGCATCTACCCAAAAGAACATAAGACATTCTATTATAAAGACATCTGCACCCGAATGTTTATGGCAGCACAATTCACTATTGCAAGGACGTGGAAACAACCCAAGTACCCGTCAATTCATGAGAGGATTATTAAAATTTGGTATATGTTTACAATGGAATATTGCTCAATTCTAAGAAACGGACAGCGAGCTTGCACCGCTTATATTATCCTGGATTAAGCTTAACCCCATTATCCAAAGTGAGGTGACACAAGATCAGAAAAATGGGCTCCACATGCACTCGCCATCAACTTGGTACTGACTGATTAACACCATGGTGTTCAAATGGTGGTGGTGTTCACCAGGAATTCGGGGTTAGACCCACATCTGAGGGATGTGGTGAGCATTGTGTAGGGGAAGGGCATACCTCTAACTCTTGCTAGGGAGAGGCAACGATATAAAATGTAACCAAAATGTTAAAAAAAAAACAAACACAAAAACATTTATCTGGTGTCAGGCAGGTGGGAAGGGGGAGGAGGGGACTATTAGGAATGAAAGTGGGACCATTACTACATATCATGGAGGTTATACTATGAACAACTTTATGCAAAAAAGAGGCAAATTCCTTGACAGAAAAATCTACAGCTCACTTAAAAAGAAAGAATGAATCTGAATAGTTCTATATCTATTAATACATTTGAATTCTTTTTTTTTCTTTTAATGCTTTTATTTTAACATAATACTGGAAGTCCTAGCCAAAGCAGTTTGGCAGGAAAATGAAAAAAAGCCAGCCAAATTGAAAAGAAAAAAGTAAAAATCTCACTGTAGATGACATAATCTTATATATAAGAAAACATGAATTTTTTTTTTTTGAGACAGAGTCTCACTTTGTCGCCCAGGCTAGAGTGAGTGCCATGGCGTCAGCCTAGCTCACAGCAACCTCAAACTCCTGGGCTCAAGCAATCCTCCTGCCTTAGCCTCCCAAGTAGCTGGGACTATAGGCATGTGCCACCATGCCCGGCTAATTTTTTTTCTATATATATTAGTTGCCCAATTAATTTCTTTCTATTTATACTAGAGACAGGGTCTCGCTCTTGCTGAGGCTGGTTTTGCACTCCTGACCTCGAGCAATCCGCCCACCTCAGCCTCCCAGAGTGCTAGGATTACAGGCGTGAGCCACCGCGCCCGGCCAGAAAACATGAATGTTACAATGCATTTGAATTCTTAATTTAAAACCTTCCCATAAAGAAAACACATGGTCCAGATGGCTTTGTTGGTGAGTTCTATAAAATGTTTAAGGAAAAATAAGAATATTACCAATTTTATACAAAATCTTTCAGAAAAGGAGGAAACACTTACCAAATAGGTCTATGAGACCAGATTTACTACGCAAAGACATTACAAGTAGGCCGGCCGGGGTGGCTCACGCCTGTTAATCCTAGCACTCTGGGATGCCGAGGCCAGTGGATTGCTCAATGTCTGGAGTTCGAAACCAGCCTGAGCAAGAGTGAGACTGCCGTCTCTACTATAAATACAAAGAAATTAATTGGCCAACTAAAATGTATAGAAAAAATTAGCCAGGCATAGTGGCGCATGCCTGTAGTCCCAGCTACTCGGGAGGCTGAGGCAGTAGGATTGCTTGAGCCCAGGAGATTGAGGTTGCTGTGAGCCAGACTGAGGCCACGGCACTCACTCTAGCCTGGGCAAAAAGCGAGACTCTGTCTCAAAAAAAAAAAAAAAAAAGACATTACAAGTAAAGCAAACAATAGGCTAATATCCTTTGTGAACATACGTGCAAAAATCCTCAAAAAATATTAGCAAATTGAATCTAGCAATATACAAAAAGACAATATATCTTAACTAATTGGGAAGGCAGTTATCAGTTTAATACACAAAAACAAATCAACATAATGCAGTATGTTAAAAGAGAAAAACATCGCCCCCATGTTATGGAGAAAAAAAATAAAATAAAAAAAAAAAAAGAGAAAAACACTGATCACCTCAGTAGATACAGAAAAAGCATTTGAAAATTTTAAGATCTATTCACAATATAATCTCTCAGCATACTAGGAATAAAAAAGGAACCTTCTCAGTCTAATAGGCATCCACAAAAAAGATCCTGCAGGCCGGGCGTGGTGGCTCATGCCAGTAATCCTAGCACTCTGGGAGACAGAGGTGGGAGGATTGCTCAAGGTCAGGAGTTGCTCAAGGTCAGGAGTTCGAAACCAGCCTGAGCAAGAATGAGACCCTGTCTCTACTAAAAATAGAAAGAAATTAATTGGCCAACTAAAAATATATAGAAAAACTTAGCCCGGCATGGTGGCACATGCCTGTACTCCCAGCTTCTGGGGAGGCTGAGGCAGAAGGATCACTGGAGCCCAGGTATTTGAGGTTGCTGTGAGTTAGGGTGAGGCTACAGCACTCTAGCTCGGGCAACACAGTGAGACTCTGTCTCAAAAAAAAAAAAAAAAAAAAAAAAGACCCTGCAGCTAGCATTATACTTAGTGCTGAAAGACTAAAAATGCTTTGCCCCCTAAATTCAGAGCAAGACAAAGATGTCTGCTCTCACCATTTCTATTCAATATTGTAGTGGAGTTCCTAGGTAGTACAGAATGACAGGAAAAAGTTATAAAAGGCATAGTGACATGATCTCTAAGTAGAAAATCCTCAGTAATGTACATAAAGCCACTAGGACTAATAAGTGAGTTTAGGAAGGTCCGTATACAAAATAATTGTACTTCTATAAACTGCTAACATTCAACTGGAATAAAAAAACCCATGCGATTTACAATAGCATTACAAGATATGAACTATTTAGGGATAAATTTAATGAAATATGCCACAGACCTGTACACTAAAGACTACAAATATAGAAAGTGAAGAACTAAAAAATAGGAGAAATATATCATGTCCGTGGATTGGGACACAATATTGTAATGATGTCTGTTAAGTTTTCCCTAACCAATCTATAGATTCATTGGAATCCCAATAAAAACACTGGTAGCTTTTATACAGAAACTTCAAAACTTTATATGAAAATACAAAGGAACTGAAATAACAAAGACTATTTTTAAAAAGAAGAACAAAATGGGGGACTTATACAAAGATACAGTAATAAGACAATGTGGCGTTTGGGTTTTCTTAATTTTTCATTTTTAATTATTATGGGTATATAATAGTTGTATATATTTATAGGGACCATGTGATGTTTTGATACAGGCATACAATGAGTATTAATCAAATCAAGGTAATAGGGGTACCCATTGCCTCAAGCATTATCATTTCTTTGTGTTAGGAACATTATAATCCCACTCTTTTAGTTATTTTTAAGTATACTATAACTTATTGTTGACTATAGTCACTTTGTTATACTATCAAATATCAAATACTGTTAATTCGATCTAACTATCTAACCATATTTTTGTACCCATTAACCATTCCCACTTTATTCCCTGCTCCCCCTACCCTTCCCAGCCTCTGGTAACCATTATTCTACTCTCTCTCTCCATGAGATCAATTGTTTTAATATTTAGCTCCTACATATGAGAGAGAACATGTGAGATTTGCTTTTCTGTGCTTGGCTTACTTCACTTAACATAATGTTCTCCAGTTCCAACCATGTTGTTGAATACAGAAGGATTTCATTCTTTTTATGACTGTATAATATTCTACTGTGTATATGTACCATAATTTCTTTATCTATTCATCTGTGGATGGACACTTAGGTTGATTCTAAATCTTAGCTATGGTAAATAGTGATGCAATAAACATGGGAGTGTAAAAAAAAAGACTAAGCTGCCTTAGCATATAGTGGCATGATCGTAGGTCACTGAAACCTATAACCCCCAGGCTCAAGCAGTCCTCCCACCTCAGCCTCCCAAGTAGCTGGGACCACAACACAGCACTATGCCCAACTAATTATTGAATTTTTTGTAGAGACAGGGTCTCACTATGTTACTCAGGGCTGGTTTTGAACTCCTGGCCTAAGTAATCCCACCACCTTCCCAAATTCTAGGATTATAGAAGTGAGCCACCGCACCTAGCCTGAAAACTACGTTTTAACACAAGACACTTTGGCTATCATTTTGACCATAATTCAAATGGAATTAGCAAATACAGAATCTGAGATCTGAGTATCTGAGACAACACAGCAACTTCATTTATGACAAAGAACCTCATTTTTAGGACATGAATATGCTTAGATTTTCAGTGTCTTTTAGTACTGGATATTATTTTAATAGATGGAAAAGAAGGTGCTTCTTACCTGATGTCCACACATAAGATTTTGAGAGGCCAGCATGATAGCTTTCATTCCTGAAGCACAAACTTTGTTTATGGTGGTGCATGGAGTAGAAATAGGTAAGCCTAAAACAAAAATAAGTTACAATTTTGAAAAACAGAGATACTCACTTTTCAAACACAACTATAGAATTAAAATTAATAGAGTACATTAGTATAACCTAAAACATTTCTTCTGCCAATGTTTCTATAGATTATATAACTCATTTAATATTTTATTTAAGCTAAAATGACTTCCACTTTGCCATTTTACACATGTTAAGTATAAAAGCAAAAAGATATTCCTGGTACCTGCACCCAACGCTGCTTGCCTTGCAGGGGCTTGTCCTTCACCTCCTTGTATAACATTACCCATGTATGCTTCTTTCACTTCTTCTTTTGGAATCCCTTTAGAAAAAAAAAATGCCAAAAAGGCATTTCTATATTTTATTCAATTTAATAACTACTGATTACCTAATAAGGTACATGACATTACCTAGTAGGAAAGGTTTCTTTTTCTTGTCAGTTTTGAGTTTCAATCCAAAGACTTCTTTACAAGAGAATTCAGAAATGTAGGCATTATGTCATTACTAAGTGTTATGTGTATAGTAAATGCAAAATAAATATCTGTTCCATTGAATCATTTTGTCTCCTCAACATAAAAAGCAAAGCAACTACTCACCTGCCTTTTCAATGGCTCCCTGTATTGCAATGGAACCAAGTTTGGTGGCTGGCACTAAGGAAAGGCTGCCTAGAAAGGATCCAATGGGTGTTCTTGTAGCACTTACTATGACCACTTCCTGGCAAGACAAAAGTTGGTAAAAACTACTATAGGTATTTTACCTAAATCATCTTTCATTAAATAAACATAATTCAGAAATATATTATCTAAGAAATGAGTAATTAGTCATCAAAGAATAATCTCTATCTAAACAGCTATAAAACTAACAAGTTCAATGCTAGGGCTTTATGATTTAAGACCTAATAGAAAACCTAACACAAACAAACCCTAAAACCCTAGAGACTTCCTCATTCTCCACAGGAGGTCTGAGGTTAAACACTTGAGTTTCAATTCTACTCCTCAAATTAAGAAATGGGCCGGGCCTCGATGGCTCACGCCTGTAATCCTAGCTCTCTGGGAGGCCGAGGCGGCCGAATCGCTAAGGTCAGGAGTTCGAATCCATCCTGAGCAAGAGCGAGACCCCGTCTCTACTATAAATACAAAGAAATTAATTGGCCAACTAATATATAGAGAAAAAATCAGCTGTGCATGGTGGCGCATGCCTGTAGTCCCAGCTACTCGGGAGGCTGAGGCAGGATTGCTTGAGCCCAGGAGTTTGAGGTTGCTGTGAGCTAGGCTGATGCCACAGCACTCACTCTAGCCTGGGCAACAAAGCGAAACTCTGTCTCAAAAAAAAAAAAAAAAAAAGGAAATGGTCACTTTATCCTTGTTAACTACATAATAACTAAGAGGGTCCCTTACTGAAGGGAACTCTGGGTTAGGAATCAACACCTATATCCTAGTTGGGGCCATACCACTTAACTAGGACACTGCCAGAGCCATAATTTCTTAAGCAATAGGACAATAATAATATGAAAAAAAAAAGTAGATAAAAGTTCTCTTGAATACTGTAAAAATAGAACACCATTGTAATAATTTTCTCCTCACACTTGTCTTCCATAATATCCTATTAAACTTGTAGATAAATAAGAATTGTTGCCTAGATTTTTTTTTTTTTGAGACAGTCTCATTGTGTTTCCCAGGCTAGAGTGCATGGCATCAGCCTACGTCACGGCAACCTCATGCAATCCTTCTGCTGCAGCCGCCTGAGTAGCTGGGACTACAGGCATGCGCCACCATGCCTGGCTAATTTTTTCTATATATGTTTTTAGTTGGCCAATTAATGTCTTTCTATTTTTAGTAGAGACAAGATCTTGCTCTTGCTCAGGTTGGTTTCGAACTCCTGACCTTGACCAATCCTCCTGCCTCAGCCTCCCAGAGTGCTAGGATTATAGGCATGAGCCACACCCCGCACCCAGCCTATTGCCTAGATTTTGATTAGAAAGATATTACTGCTCACTGTGTCAGCTGCAGGAGCAACTGCCGCCTCGGGAATGGGAGGCTCAAGGCTCAAGCCTATAATCCTAGCACTCTGGGAGGCCGAGGCAGGAGTATCGCTCAAGGTCAGGAGTTCAAAACCAGCCTGAGCAAGAGCAAGACCCCGTCTCTACTAAAAAAAGAAAGACATTAATTGGCCAACTAAAAATATATAGAAAAAAATTAGCCAGGCATGATGGTGTGTGCCTGTAGTCCCAGCTTTTGGGGAGGCTGAGGCAGGAGGATTGCTTAAGCCCAGGAGTTTGAGGTTGCTGTGAGCTAGGATGATGCCACAGCACTTCAGCCCGGACAACAGAGTGAGACTCTGTCTCAAAATAAAAAGAAAAGAAAGACATTACTAAGTCACTTTAGTGACCCTTATAAAGCAAAGAGAGGAGCCCTCAGAAAATACTATGTGATGACCCTTCTTATCTAATCGCCAGGCCCACTCTTCTGGAATCTTCCATGTGATCTCTTCATTGTACCAACACAATATAACAGGGCTCTCTGAGAATAAAGGAAGAACACTGCCAGTTTTAGAGGAAAGGTTGTTTTGCAGAATATGGAGAAGCAGGAATTATGCAGGGACTAGCTGAAATTTCTTATGGTAATCTAGGAGTTTAATATTTGAATAGTTAGCTACTCCTAACCATGGCATAATCCCGCTTTGACCTTCACATATACCCAAATCATAAGTATATACAATTTTATTGACACTTCCTTTAAATTCCTGAAATTTTAAAGCACAATTTAAATTTATACTTACATTCAAAGTGGGTTTTGACGCATAACTTCGCTCCATATACCTTATTTCCTGTAATATAAGTATTCGTAATGTTATAATGTAAAAATATCAATCTACATCATTTTATAAGTATAAGTGATGAGAATATGGTGACTTCTTTCTGCTTCTTTGTGCTTTTATTTCTAAATTTTCCAGTCAATATATATCACTTTTATAAATTCAGACTTATTTTACTCCTCATAATAAACTTTTCTGAGTTCATACATTCATTGGAAATGTATTTTCTTTTTTTTTTTTGAGACAGTCTCACTCTGTTGCCTGGGCTGGAGTGCTGTGGCGTCAGCCTAGCTCACAGCAGCCTCACACTCCTAGGCTCAAGCGATCCTCCTGCCTCAGCCTCCCGAGTAGCTAGGACTATAGGCACACAACCACGCCCAGCTAATTTTTTCAATTTTTCAGTAGAAATGGGGTCTTACTCTTACTAAAGCTGGTCTTAAAGTCCTGAGCTCAAGCGATCCTCCCACCTCAGCCTCCCAGAATGGTAGGATTACAGGTGTAGGCCACCATGCCCTGCCTAAAGACTGGTCAGTTTTCAAACCATTTTGTTTTTAGGCATTCTAACAGATAAGTACTGGTACCTCATTGAGCCGCAGCAGTGTAGAGAACTGACTGTAGTAGGGCAGAAGTAGAAAAAGGGAAGGAGACCAACAGAGCTGATGTGCCCAATGCTAGGAAGGGAACAAGGGGGCAGATACAAATGGTTGGACTTGGAACATATCCCAGACACTGTGGGCACGATCACCATCCTTTGACAGATGAGGAAACTGAAGCACTGGCGGATGAAGCAGCCAAACCGAAGTCCTACAGCCAGGAGACAGCAGGGCTGGCATCACAAATCCACCCGGTCTGACTCCAGAGTCCACTTTTGGGCTCTACACTATTATGAACATATTTTGGGGAAAGTAACTAAATTGTTTCTAAACTTTTCAACTTAGGATAGAAAGGATAGCAGTTAGTAATCAAAGTACCCTGTGTTGGCTGGGCAAGGTGGCTCACCCCTGTAATCCTAGCTCTTTGGGAGGCCGAGGCAGGCGGATCGTTTGAGTTCAGGAGTTCAAAACCAACCTGAGCAAGAGCGAGACCTCGTCTCTACTATAAATAGAAAGAAATTAATTGGCCAACTAATATACATAGAAAAAATTAGCCAGGCATGGTGGCGCATGCCTGTAGTCCCAGCTACCTGGGAGGCTGAGGCAGGAGGATCCCTTGAGCCCAGGAGTTTGAGGTTGCTGTGAGCTAGGCTGACGCCACGGCACTTACTCTAGCCTGGGCAACAAAGCGAGACTCTGTCTCAAAAGAAAAAAAAAAAAAAAAGTACCCTGTGTTTATGCATCTTATTGTATAAGGAAAGCAAAATTCTCTTACATAAAATCATGATATCCCAAATCTGTATTTCTTCATGTCTTTATAAATGTCTCCTAGTATGAAATAGTTATGCTAATTTCAATCCACACTTTTTGTTTTAGGTATATGTTCATTTTATGTATTTCATTTATATAATGCCTTTGTTAAAATCTTACATAACCACTCTGGTATGTTAAATTTTGACAGTGTTGACAAATGGTTGAAGTTGATAACAACCTTTTGGCTGAGCACAGTGGTGCACACCTGTAATCTAAGCACTTTGGGAGGCCAAGGCAAGGAAGATCACTTGAGCCCAGGAGTTCAAGACCAGCCTGAGCAACACAGAGAGGCCCCTTCTCTACAAAAAACTTATAAAGTGGCTGAGCATGGTGGTGCATGTATGTACTCTTGGCTACAGGAGAGGCTGAGGCAGGAGGATTGCTTGATCCCAGGAGTCTGAAGTTACAGTGACCTAGGATACCATTGTACTCCAGTCTAAATAACAGAGCAAGCAAGACCCAGTCTCAAAAAACAAACAAACAAACAAAATACCAACTTCTGGTTTGGGTTCAGTTGTGTCTACCCCAAAAAGAAGTGCTAACCCCCAGTACCTCAGTCTGTAACCTTATTTGGAAATGGGGTCTTTACCGAGGTAATCAAGTTAAAATGCAGTCATTACTGCATTTACTCTGCACTCTGGGAGGCCGAGGTGGCCTCGAGGTGAGGAGTGCAAAACCAGCCTCAGCAAGAGCAAAACCGTCTCTACTATAAATAGAAAGAAATTAATTGGCCAACTAATATATAAAGAAAAAATTAGCCAGGCATGGTGGCGCATGTCTGTAGTCCCAGCTACTCGGGAGGCTGAGGCAGGAGGATTGATTTAGCCCAGGAGTTTGAGGTTGCTGTGAGCTAGGCTAACACCACAGCACTCACTCTAGCCTGGGCAACAAAGTGAAACCCTGACTCAAAAAAAAAAAAAAAAGCAGTCATTAGGTGGGCCCCAATCCAATATGACTGGTATCTTTATAAAAAGGTAAAATTTGGACACAGAAACAGACACAGAAGGAAGATGAAGGGAAGACACAGGGTCAATGCCATGTGTAGATGGAGGATTGGAGCAAGAAGCTCTGATACAAACCAAGGAACTCCAAAGACTGCCCACACCCACCAGAAGCTAGGAGGAAACAAGGGGGGAATTCATTTAACTAGTCAGGGGGAGAACAGCCCTGCTGGCACTATGATTTTGGACTTCCAGCCTCTAGAACTGGGAGACAATACATTTCCATTGCTTTAAGCTGCCCATTTAGTAGAACTCTGCAGCCCTGGGAAACTAACAGTCTCTCCTTGAAAATCTAACCTCCCTTGACATTCAAGTGACACTGTAATCCTAGCACTCTGGGAGGCCAAAGTGGGAGGATAGCTTGAGGTCAGGAGTTGGAGAGCAAACTGAGCAAGGGCCAGACCAGTCTCTACCAAAAATGGGGAAAAGTAGCTGGGTGTGGTGGCATGTGCCTACAGTCCCAGCTTCTTGGGAGGTTGAGGCAAGAGGATCACCTGAGCCCAAGAATCTGAGGTTGCAGTGAGCTATGATCATGCTATTGCACTGTCTCAAAACAACAAAAAATGTCTGAGCACTAAAAGATGCAGAATAATACTGGATCAAAACATAAAACAGTAGTTTCAAGGCAGGAGTAGTCAATAGTGTCAAATATAGTATAAAGGTCAAGAAGAAAAAAAACACAGAAAAAAAAATACTGGTATTTTCCAGGTGAGTGGCACAGAATTTTAACTCCGGAGGGTTAAAGAGAAATAGATGTAGAATAAATGGGAGGTGGTAAGTAGAGACCACTCCTTTGACGAGAGAGAAAAGTGATTAAAGCTAGAAAAGCAACAAGCTCCAAAAAAGTCCATCAAGGTTTGTTGACCATAAAGGAGATTTGGGGGACAAAGGGGTGGGAGCCACTGTAATGAGTGAGGTCAAATTCCATTCCACAGGATGGCAGAGAAAACTGAAAATCTTGTTAAAACAAACCAATTTCCATGGTTCAGTATATGACCACTCAATTCAAATAACATCCAATACAACTGATTCTCACATACCATATGTATATAACTTATAGGTTCATTTTTTTCGTAAGGAACATTTGTGTTTGATTGTGAGAGCTTAATTAAACCATAAATTTAGAAGGTTCTGCATTTTTTAAACATATCTACTTCACCTATTTCACCTAGTCAATACTGGCTGAAATCCAAGTTAACCTTAGTCAATACTGGTTGAAATCCAAGTTAACCTAACTACATTTTTGTGATTTCCGTAGTCATTCCATGTAACTAACAAATAGACTAAGAGCTCATCTGTCCTGCAAATCTACTCCTGACTTTTCTATTATCTCAGTCACCTAGGATTGATTTTAGACTCTCACTTTTCCCTTGGCTCCACCCTCACCTCATAACTGTCAAGTTGTATGTTTATTCTTTCATAATCTCTTGCATAATGCTGCTCCCTTTCAGCTCCTATTGCCAGCACCCTAGTTCAAGTTATGTCACTCTACACTCAGACACTGGTTTTACCCCCAACTCTAATTCTTCATGACCTCTGCTTATGACAAAAACAAATGTACCAACAGTCCCCACTGACCTGGGTCAAATCCAAACTCTTGCAACACAATGATTTCAAAGCCGACCCACCTGGAAAACTCAAGCTTCACCAACCACACCCTCAAGTTCTCCTCTACCTATTCTAGAGGCTTTGCCAGACACTAAACCTGGGGTGCAGGTTCCCTAGCTTCAACATATGGAAAATTCATTTCTTGTGTTATCATCTGTTTATTATCACATAGCGTCCTCACCCCCTGTATGCCCAATGATTGGGGAAAAAAAAAGAAAAGAAAACCTCTCTCTTGACAATAACGCGCACGAATATGTTTTAACGACCATCTTGGAAAACAGTTGCAGGGGCCTCCAAAATCTCTCTCCAGCCGGACCGAGCAGGAGCCAGTCGCAGGCCTACCTGCCCGCACGTGTGCCCCTGACACAGCAGAATCAGCAACCGCGGGGATCAGGGGGGCCCCTGCACGCCTAGTAGAGATAAGTGAGTCCCGGGCGTCGTCGGAGCACTGCCGGAGCTTTGGGGGCGAGACCCCCGTCGGGCGACTGTCTCTGGGCCTACGCCGCCAGCAGGGACCATCCGAGGCAGGGGAAGGGGCGCAGCGGGGCCGAGGCCCTCCCGGGGGACGAGCCCCGCTTACCTGCAGCACCCACCGAAGCGGGGGGCTGCGGCTGCGGGCGCCGCCGCGCACAAGGGCCGCCAGCATAGCCATGGTGTGTCGCAGAGCCGGGAGCCGAGGACTCAAGGGCAGGGCGGGGCCGCGGGAACTCGCCGCCAGCCAACCTCGCGCGCGAGCAGACGCCGCCCCCGCCACACCTCCCCGCCCGCCGCCTCGCGCCGCCGCGGTCGGCGGGGATTGGCCGGCAGCCACGGGTGGGCGGGGCCGGCGCGCCCGCGCCGCAGCCGATCCGGTAGGAGGTCGGTGTTGAAGGACTCGGCGCGAGGAACGGCGGCGTACTGTTCCGCCACTTCTAACCTTCTGAGGCCGGCGGTTATGAGTAGCTCGAGCCTTTCCAGTTCCCTGAGCATGATTCTGTCACTTACATCTACCTAGAACAAAAGAAACTCATGAACATTTTTTTCTTTTTTTTTTTGGCCAGGCTAGAGTGCCGTGGCGTCAGCCTAGCTCACAGCAACCTCAAACTCCTGGGCTCCAAACAATCCTGCTGCCTCAGCCTCCCGAGTAGCTGGGACTACAGGCACGCGCCACCGTGCCTGGCTAATTTTTTCTATATGTTTTTAGTTGGCCAATTAATTTCTTTTTAGTAGAGGGGGGGGTGTCTAGCTCTTGCTCAGACTGGTTTCAAACTCTGGACCTTGAGCCATTACCCCCACCCCCCACCCATGAAAATCCAATTCGCTTTTCACTTATGACAAATTTGCAATTGTTTTTCAGAAGGAAGAAGAGGAATAGAATACACAAAGTTTACTGAACAATTAACAAGATTACTCTTCACCAGAATCCCATGAATTAGATGCTACTGTTATCCACCGTTCAACTAATGAGGTAACGGAGATGCAAAGAAATTTTGTTGTTCATGATTGCACAGAGAGTGGTAAAACTGAGGTCTCAACTGATACCATTATATTGCTTTGTTTCCCTATACCTTTTCCCAGAGGCCAATATAAATGGTAGATTAGCTATGATTATTCTTACATTTTGGGAACCCATTACTTAACTTTGGACCTTCAGCTGGGGACAGCATATCTTTGTGACTTTGAAACATTTTCCTTTATATTGATTGTCCTATAAAAAAGGAACGACAACGTACAAATTAAGCACTTCAATTTGCCCTAAGCCAAACCCATGTTTTTCCTAAATAAAGTAAAACCATCCACCATTATATTTTAACATATTATGTTTTGTTGGCAACTCTGGGAGATGGTACTTTTCAAAAATGGCCACATCTATGTTATCCGGCCACACAAGCTTTTCTTTCAGTCAGTGACACTCTTCCTCCCAGAAGTAGGGTCTGTGTTCCTTCCCCTTGAATCTGGACAGGGAGTGCTGACTGCCACAACCAAGGAAGTATGGCAGAAGTGACTCTATGTGACCTTCCCAGAGAGGTCCAGGCAGAAATACAGATTTTTATGGTTTTAAAAATGCCTCAGATGATTCGATTCCCCAGCCTTCAACCCTTCCAGCTGAGACCCCAGAAATCATGAAGCAGAGACAAGCTGTCCCCACTGAGCTGTCTGAATTCATGATCCACAGAAAACAATAAGAGAAAATAAATGGTTATTGTAATTAAATCCATGTTTCGGGCTAATTATTTTTTTTACACAGCAACACATAAATATAGCACATCTATCTTTAATTTCCCAGTCACCCCAAGTTGGTCCCTTAATACTTCTGTGAGGGCCAGGCGCAGTGGGTCATGACTATAATCCTAGCACTCTGGGAGGCCAAGGCAGGTAGATCGCTCAAGGTCACCATTTGAAAACCAGCCTGATGATGTATTAGATAAAATATACACACTATTTTTTGAGACAGAGTCTCGCTCTGTTGCCCAGGCTAGAGTGACATGGTGTCAGCCTAGCTCACAGCAACCTCAAACTCCTGGGCTCAAGCAATCCTGCTGCCTCAGCCTCCTGAGTAGCTGGGGCTACAGGCACAAGCCATCAGGCCTGGCTAATTTTTTATTTCTATTTTTAGTTGCCCGGCTAATTTTTTTCTAGTTTTAGTAGAGATGGGGGTCTCACTCTTGCTCAGGCTGTTCTGGAACTCCTAAGCTCAAGCAATCCACCTGCCTTAGCCTCCCAGAGTGCTAGGATTACAGGCATGAGCCTCCGCACCTGGCCTGTATTAGATAATGTTTCTAACTGAAAAAGTTGAATCCTTAAAGAAATAACTCAGAAAATTAAACAGCTGCTCTGGCCCAATAAATAGAGATTACCAGTTGTCAGAAGCCAAGGCTGGGGATCAAAGAGTAAAAGGTGACTGGTTATAATAATAGTTACTTATATAATTCTTAACATGGGCCACTTCTTTCACAGTTTAATTCATTTAATCCTCATAATAACCCATTGAATTAGGGAGTATCATTATCCACATTTTACAGATGGAAAACTCAAACACAGAAGTTTGTCCAAAGGCACAGAGCTGGTAGTGACAGAGCTGCAGATTGAACACAGGCAGGCCCATGGCTAGGTCTAGGCTCTTAACCACCCACTGTACTAATTTTGCCTTAGGAAAGACCTGCCCTAGGAGAGACCCACTTCAGGGAGCTCTAATCAGACAATTCTGCCATCAAAGGCACTACCAGGAAACACTGCCACTACGTTGGACAAGACAGCTTCTAGAGAAGTTCAGAGAGATTTAGGAACACCTGGGGGAGAAGAACAGTGAATTTACTTCCAGAGCTACAGCAGGCAAGCTGCTCTTCAACACTAACCTTCAAAAACATAAGAGGATGTTTTTGGGGCGTGGTAGCTCACGCCTGTAATCCTAGCACTGTGGGAGGCGGAGGCAGGCGGATTGCTCAAGGTCAGGAGTTTGAAACCAGCCTGAGCGAGACCTCCGTCTCTACTAAAAATAAAAAGAAATTAATTGACCAACTAAAAATGTGTACATATATATATATATATATATATAGAAAAAATTAGCTGGGCATGGTGGCACATGCCTGTAGTACCAGCTACTCAGGAGGCTGAGGCAGGAGGATCGCTTGAGCCCAGGAGTTTGAGGTTGCTGTGAGCTAGGCTGATGCCACGGCACTCACTCTAGCCTGAGCAACAAAGTGAGACTCTGTCTCAAAAAAATAAATAAATAAAAACATAAGAGGAGCTCTTATTCGCTGCCTAACTGCTGCCATCATGGTCTCATGCATGCTCCCAGGAAGGGCCTGTCCCAGTCGGCCCTGCCCTATCGCTCAGCATTTCCTTGGGCTTAAGTTGACATCTGACAAGTGGAAGGAGCAGATTTACAAACTGGCCAGGAAGGGTGGGACTCCTGTTAGGTAGAGATCAAATCTGCAGGTGGTAGGTGTAGGCCAGGAGGGTGGTTCCTAGGGGCAGGGAAGCTGGGGACTAATCGGGGGAAGGGACTACAGGAAAAAAAAAAACTTAGTTAAGGGAAACATAATTAACGGGAATTTGGGGTTTTGTTGTTTACACACCTGTGGAGCATAAGTGGATGGAACTTTGTTATATAAGAACAACTGTCAATTCTTTGGTAACATCCCAACACCTGCAAGCCCTGCCCCAGACCAAGTCAATAAAAGATGACCACCTGGGGCTGGATCACGCCTGTAACCCTAGCACTCTGGGAGGCCAAGGCCGGAGGATCGCTTGAGCTCATGAGTTCCAGACCAGCCTGAGCAAGAGCAAGACCCGTGCCTACTATAAATAGAAAGAAATTAGCCAAACAACTAAAAATAGAAAAAATTAGCCGGGCATGATGGTGTATTTCTGTAGTCCCAGCTACTAGGGAGGCTGGGACAGGAGGATCGCTTGAGCCCAGGAGTTTGAGGTTGCTGTGAGCTAGGCTGACACCACGGCACTCTAGCCCAAACAACAGAGTGAGACTGTCTCAAAAAAAAAAAAAAAAAGAAGATGACCACCTGGGAGTCCATTCCTCTCTCTGGAACATATTTTCACTTTGTATAGCTTCCTTCTTTACTTTCACTGCACTCTGTTTAGTGTCTCCCTTTTCTGTGATAAACTTTTCATGTGGAATTGCTTCGTATTTGCGATCACTCATCATCAGTGATCGGTACTTGTACTCATTCCTGACACTGGGAACTGAGGACCAGGCAACATCAAGACAGACCTAACAACTCCCTCACAAATCAATGCGATCCTCATGGTTGCACAGGTCTGTTTTGTGACAGGCAATAAAATCTTGAGAATTCTTCTTTTGCTCTTTTTTTTTTTTTTAAGACAGAGTCTTACTCTGTGTCCTGGGCTAGAGTGCCGTGGCATCACCCTAGCTCACAGCAACCTCAAACTCCTGGGCTCAAGCAATCCTCCTGCTTCACCCTCCTGAGTAGCTGGGACTAAGGCATGTGCCACCATGTCCGGCTAATTTTTTTTTCCTATATATTTTTAGTTGGCCAATTAATTTCTTTCCATATTTAGTAGAGACATGGTCTCACTCTTGCTCAGGCTGGTTTCGAACTCCTGACCTTGAGCAATCTGCCTGCCTTGGCCTCCCAGAGTGCTAGGATTATAGGCGTGAGCCACAGTGCTTGGCCAGGACTTGCTCTTGATCTTCCTGAAGATCTCTACCATTTAATTAAGAAAGCAGTTGCTATTCCAAAGCATCCTGGGCAAAACAGGAAGGATAAGCATGCTAAATTCCATTTGATTCTGATAGTTGGATTCACCGATTGGCTTGATATTACAAAGCCAAGTGAGATTCCCTCCCAGTTGGAAGTATGAGTCATCCACAGCCTCTGCCCTGGTTGCATAAATTTGTCTATTTAAGCAATAAAATCATTAACTAAAAAAATAAATAAGAGCAACTTTGCTACCAATATGAGCAGCAGGCAAAAATGTAGTTAATAATTTAAGAATCTAGGACTAGGAAAATGTTTAAAGAAAATAGGGAAACTCACTGCATCCAGAATAACTATACTACCCCAAGTGGTCTATACTTGGAGAAATTTAGACCCCTAGATAAATAAAAACTAATTTTGATCTTTATTTACATTTCTTTCTCTCTTTTTTTCCATATAGATAGCAATCTTGCTATGTTGCCCAGGTGGGTCTCAAGCTCCTAGCCTCAAAGTGATCCTCCTGCCTTGGCTTCCCAAAGTGCTGGGATTACAGGCGTGCACTACCACTCCCAGATTTA